ATATCCAAATTATTGCAGGTCCCTGATCTGTTTATTTTGCTTTTTACTTTAAACAAACCTTCGTGTTTTCTATTTTGTTTATATTTCTATCTTGTTTACACTTTATTTTGTTTACACTTTTATCTTATTTACGCAAATAATTTTTTTAGTTGTCAGTTTTTTTAAATTAAAAACGCTTTTTCAAAAAACCTTTTTTATTTGAAATTTTAATTTTGAAGTAGCTTCTAATAACAACGTTTTTAACAACAACTCTCCTAACAACAACTCTCCTAACAACGCTCTTAACAACAACTCTCCTAACAACAACTCTCCAAACAACAACTCTCCTAACAACGCTCCTACGTATCAATGCTTCTATTAACACTCTTAAGGTTATTATCATATAATATTTATCACTATATAAAGTCTGTCCAAAGGTTCATATTTTTCATATTTTTTAATCATATCATTATACAATTTCTGTAGTTCTCATTTACAAGACTTGAAGGAAATCACTCACGATTTCTTGTATGAGAATTATCGTACCGAGAAACTTAGTCGAAGTGCAGACAATTCTTCCGTTGAGTAAGTATAGATAATATTTGCTCATAGAAATATTAATGAATTATATTAATATTAATTTGTATATTTTTTATAGGGACACTGCTATTTTGTCTGAAGACCTCACTACTCAAAGTATGCGAATAAAAGAGGAACAACTGAAACGGGAAGAAGAAAAAGTGAGAATTTTGCATTTAACTTCTTTCTTCCTATTTTAAACTTATTACTGAATTCTTTTTATTTGCATTATCTAGTTGAGAGAAATTGAACTAAAAGTTCAACGAGAAATCTCTGAAAAGAGGCAAGAACTTTTAGCTAAAGAAGAAGCTTTGAGAAGCTTGGAAGCAAGGTTGGCACAAGCTTAAGAATCCTTTATGTATTGTACATCATGGGAATTTGAAATCGGGTTATTTTGGTTTATCTTTTGGTGCGGGCAATAACCCAGCATTATGGAAATTATAAATATATATACAAATAATAGAGTCTGCAATATTTAACATTTATTGCATGTATTAGATAAGTACTAATGTTAATTGAAAATTAATAAATTTAATCAATATTAAACATTTTAAATATTTTTTTATTGTTGATTGTAAATAATTATTATGTCTTTTGAATAATATGTAAATATATATAAAAATATATTATTAATTTTAATAATACATTTTACTGTTATAGCGAGTTCTCTATATAATAAAAAATTTAAATTAAACTTTAGCTTGATATTATGATGCACATATCTTTTAATCTGTAAAGCAGGCGAATTGAGATTCCGTGCCCGCGCCCCTGCGTAACACTTAAAGCGTTTATACCCAACAGGACTGTATATAGGCAAATTGAATGCGTTTTTATTAGTGTGAGATCCAATGAAGAGTTCTCAATGTTCTCAAGATCATTCAAAAAAATTTATGTTCTTTTTTGAGAAACATAAAATTTATAATTTATGTTCTCATAAGATATATATAAAATTAATAATAATGATTTTATTAATAATAATTTTATTAATAATATATAATTTATTAATAATAATTTTATTAATAATACAGTACAGTATATAATTTATTAATAATAATTTTATTAACAATAATTTTATTAATAATAATTTTATTAACAATAATTTTATTAATAATAATTTTATTAATAATAATTTTATTAATAATAATTTTATTAATAATAATAATTTTATTAATAATAATTTTATTAATAATTTTATTATTACTGTTGAACCTCCCAAAATCGATCCTCTCAAAACCGATAACTTGTCAAATCTGATAAAAAATTAGTCTACCAAGACCGTTTCTGATATGCATGGTGGATAGATTTTGTATCAGCATTGAGAGTTTATCAGATTTGAAAACATCATAAACTATTAGATTTATATAACAGAAACGGACTTGGTAGACTAATTTTTTATCAGATTTGACAGATTCAACAGTATAAGTATAAAATATTATAGATATTTTTTAGTAAAAGGTTTAGTTTTTATTTAATATTGTATATTTTTTTTAATATCTTATTTCTTTTTACAAATTATTTTATATTATATTAAACAGAAAATCAAATTGGTCTAGCTATATATTTATATATACTATATAAATTTGTACAACTTTTTTTACAAAATACTTACACATTAAAAAAAGTTCTTGCACATATAAGCCAATTTTAAATACTGGTTACACGTAATCTTAGAATTTAAAACTTTTTAAAGTAGTAATTTTTAGTGTCCTCCAACGAGCCGGCTCAAATAGGCTTATTCTATACCCCATTGGTTTATTTAAGACTTTTTTTTTTTAATGTTAAAAATGAGACCATGTTTATTTAAGACTTATTTGACTTATAAAACTGTATAATATATGATATATTCAAGAATGTCGAGCAGGCTCATTGGAGAACACTAGTAATTTTATTTTGCTGTTTAATCAGATTCTATAAAATATTCATATAGGCTGATTTTAAAATTTTAGTGATATTTTTGAGTAAAATTTGTAATTATTTCGAAATTGTCTCATGTTGATTAGGTTTGAAAATTTGTATTTATACTCAATAAATTTAGATTCAAAGATCCTGAAATAGTTAGATTAGAGGTATAGTTTAGACTAATTTGTTTAATTTTGGCAATAAAGATTAGAGCTCACCATTTTCTGCTGTGACAGACCCAAATTCTGCCTGCTTTACAATTCGATTTAAGTGAATTATGCGAAAAATTTTTTAGAAATATACAGCAGATTATGCAAATCAGATAGAAATATGCGGTTGTTAGAGTTAGTGCTCGGCACAATCAAACAAAAATTTGACAGTCAAATACTTGTTAATACTTATGTTTAACAAACGATTGCAGATTAACCAAAGCTAAATATATACTAATGGTTAATCTGCAATCATTTGATGTCCGACTTAATCACAAGTATTGACAAGTATTTGACTGTCAAATTTTTGTTTGATTGTGCCGAGCACTAGTTAGAGTTGTAAGATTACCTAGATTTTTATTGTAAGTTACCGAACCCATCAGTAATATACCAAGTAAATTATACCTCCCGGAAATTCCCGACAGCCATGCTTTGTGTTTATTAACTGTATTATCCTGAAATGCTCTGATATTACTTATTTTTAACTGACCATCTTATATGCTATTGCATATGCTATGCTTCTGCGATAAAATCAGATTTATGCGCAGATTATGCTATCGCAAATCGGCAGTAGCTCAGTCATGATGCATTTATCATATAATCGTTGATCACTGAGTTAACTGTTCTTGAGAAGATTCTATGTGGTTTGTGTGGGCTAAAAATTGAGGTCCGATCCGATGAATAGTATATTCGAATATTCAATGAATATTCGAATATTCGAATATTTAATTGTTTCACTGAATATTCGAATATTCGAATATTGTTTCACTGAATATTCGAATATTCGAATATTTAATTGTTTCACTGAATTGAATATTTGAATACAGTATTTGAATATTTAATTGTTTCACTGAATTGAATATTTGAATTTAAAAATTTTTTATCAAATAATTCATTGAATATTCAATGAATATATACTATCTAAACGACAAATTAAATGAAAGTAGATGAACAAGATAAACCCTTATTAGCTAGAAGTTTCCCTATCGATTTATTTATTTTAATATTTTGATGATATATACTAGAAAAACGGCGACGTTTTGTAGGCTGGAGCCTTAATTCTTAGGCCTTATACTTTAGAATTAAAATTA